AAGTCTTTTCATATTGTCCCCAGGCTCTTAGATGTCACCAACTTAGATATGAGAGCTTTCTGATAGATCCTCTGGTGCCAGCACTGCTGGGCATGTCAGAGGCTGAGAGGGAGGGGGGGCATCACCCAAGTGAGTTCACACCAAGTGGGACCGAGTCTGCTCTGCCACTGAACAGCTGACTGATCAGGTTACTTAATCTCTCTGATTTTTCATTTCCTCATGGGTATAATGATTGGACAAATATAACTGGGAAAATACCGATCATAGTGCCTGACACATAAAAGCTGGCAATAAAAGGTATTATTATTATTATTATTATTATTATTATTATTATTATTTTTCTGGAAACAAAAACAGCCAAGAAAACCCCCAAACAAACAGACAAAACAAAAAAAACTCGTCCTCCTCCCTGGCTTGTTTTTCTCTGACTTAAGAATGCACAGGTCTCCTTGGCGCTGGGCAAACCTTGCTTTGCCGGTGATGTGCCTCCTACCACTTTATTTGCTGCCTGAATGTTTAATGCTATTTCCTTACTGTTTACCATCTCATTAACACTTCAAAATATGGCTCTCCTGAGACTTCGTCTTCACTCTGTTGAAACTTCCAATCCCCAGTGACTCTGTCATTCTGTGCAGCATCAGGCAATTTTCAGGGAACCTGAGATTTCCTCTTCCCTGACAAACCCTACTTTTTGTCCTTCTCTGACTCCTCTGTTTCTTCTCTCTTCTCCGATTTCTCTGATCTCAGCTCTGTCCTAGTAATTATTGCCCAAGGAGCTGTCCTCACACCTCTGCTTTTCATAATCCCCGCTCTCCCCGAGGAATTTTATCTTTATGTCGATGCCGCCCAGATCTTTCTTTCCAGGCCGGATTATTCCCCCACATTCCAGGTGCAAACCGCTCACCTTCGTTTGGATGTGTAATAGACTCTCAGACTGGACGTATTGAAGCACATCCTCTTCCCCAAATATAATCTCCCTATGCAAGATTCAAACCTGTAAACCATCTTTCATTCCTCCTTATTTCCCCACATCAAATCAGACATGAAGACCTGTCAATTCTTCCTTTTTCATGAAACTCAATGTGTCAATTCCTTTTCAGTCCATCTCCCACTACTGCTATCACTTATCATTGCATTCTTGGATTATTAGCATTTTCCCAGCTCCTGTTTCCTTCAATCTCAATCTATTCTGCATACTGCTATCAAGTTATTATTCTTTAAAAAAAACCTGCTCACATCAAACACATCAAATAACTTCCCACATCAAATAAGTTCCCACCTCAAAACATACATGACTCCCTAAATTTTATAGGCACATAGATTACCTACCTTGGTACTCCAGAGTTAGAGTTACTAGAATTGGATTTAATTTGCCCTTTTAGACTTATCCATAACTAACTCTTACCATTAATATGCATTGAAATAAAAAGACTCCAGCATCTATTCCCTGTCTTTCCCTGCTTCCCTGACTTTTTATTTAAAAAGGACAAAGCATTTCCACATCTCTTTCTAGCATACCAAGCCTTCCCTCACTATCAATCCCTTTGTTTGTCCAGGTTCTGTGTCTACCTCTAGGAGTACAGTGTGGGACCCAAGCTCAGTCCGCCAATGCACCAACCCCTCCGTGGTTCCAGTAATTGTCTCAGGGGTGAGTAGAGGCCCCGTGGATGTTTAATTACATTAAACCCTAGGACTTGTGAGGATGTTCCTGAAAAAAGAGTCAGGATTGGATCGACGAGGCTGCAGGTGGAGGCCCTGGGAAGGAGGGGGTCATTTAGGATTGTGGGGAGTCAGGACCCACAGCCTCTGCTTTCCCCAGGTCCGATTATCTGCTGTCGGGCTATTTTTACACCTACAAGACAGGATGGGGAGCAGACTAAGGGATGAGTCAATATTAGAAGCATAAAGCAAGCAGTAGAGAACTAGACTTTCTGGGAAAGTGACTCTAATAATCCCATACGTTTATATCACTGTGCACTGTGACTGGCAGGGGAGGAACTGTCAAATCTTTAGAACTTGGAGGAAAGAATTTTACCAGCTTTGGCAGCAATGAAAAATTGCTACTGACTTGTAATACCACAGTTGGAGTTGAGGCAGCAATTTCCCCTCTAAAAAGTCCCTTAAATGTAGGAAACCAGATTTTAGTTGATGAAAAAACATAAAAATGTCTGGCTAAGACAGGGAGAGAAGAGTTGTGTCTGACACGGTTTACGAAGGGACCACTGTACTTATTCTAATAAGGTTGAAAATGAGACATGGGGCAAAGATCTCTTTATAGGGAATATCTGTGATTGTGATGGTTAATTTCATGTGTCAATTTGGCTAAGTCATGGTGCCCATAAATTTAGTCAAATGTTATTTTAGATGTGTCTGTGAACGTAGTTTTTTAGATGACATTAACAATTAAATTAGCACATTACTGGTACTCCATAACATGAGTGGGGCTCATCCAAGCAGTGAAAGACTTTAATCACAAAAGTCTGCCCTCCCCTGAAGAGGAGGGAAGTTGGCCAGCATACTACCTTGAACTTCAGCATCAACTCTGCCCTTGTCTCTAGATTGTCAGTCTGGGCCTTGCCAGCCTACACAATCACATGAGCCAATGCTTTAAAATAAATCTTTCTTTCTTTATACATGTACACATCCTATAGAGTCCTATTCTTTAGAGACTCTTGACCAATACACTGTCCTACATAAGCTTGGAAACTTCCCTGAGGAGTGAGTTCACGACATCTCAACACTGACTCTTCCCCCATTTTCCTTTCAGAGGCAGAACATTCTAATAGCTCTGTCTCCCCTGGAGAAAAATAATGGGAATTATCTATAGACAAGGAGAAAGGACAAATGAACCCAAACATAAAATTCATTTTGATAGACATTAACTTTGTAGGACAATATGTGATTTCTTTGCATGAATTAATGTTAATATCCCCCCAAAGTAAAAAGAAAAAAAATTTTTAAAGGAGGAGGTAGGGGAGAAGGAAGGGGAAAAGAAGAAAGGGCAGAAGGAGAACCAGGAGAAGACGAAGAAAAGAAATTATTAAAATGAACACTAGGTTAAAAAAAAAATCTAAAATGAAAAAAAGCATCCGTCCAGGATGAATCAATTCGTCGGCCAAGCCCTTTTCTAGTAAAATGATATTTAGTTGTAAGAAAAGCAACCACAAAGGGTTTTTTTCTTTTCTCGCTCTCTCTTAAAAAAATTTTTTTATTTAAGATTTGTACATTGTCTATTTCAGAGTCCCATTTAAACTTTCTATAGTGAATCATCTCCAAGGCAGCTTTTCTTAGTAATGGTAGTGAATCACTCTTTTAAAATGGTTTAAGTACTTAATGTTCCTTAGCATTCCCCACATAATAAATTTGCTACATGGCACTATATATAAATACAGCTAAATAGCATTATAAGATCATCATTTTCCATAGAACTGCATATTTAGAGGAGATATGAAATGATACTGTTGTATTGCTGACATTCCTGAAAACATCTTGGTAGTTGACAAGATCAGAAAGCAGATTAGCATGGCATAAAAAGCCCTGAACTACAAGTCAAAACACCTCGATTCTAGCTCCAGAGGTCACTATCAGGGTCATCTTAGGCAAAGCTATTCTGTATCTCTACACCTCAGTCATGACTTTATCCGTAATATCTGAACCGCATTATGAGCATTACATGAGAGAGATGATTTGTATGAGAGCGCTTGGTACGGAGAGGGATGCAGCCACACTGATGCCACGCAGGGAAGCGTGGAATCCGTCACGTTACACACAGTGAAAATGCAATGTGGAGGGGGTGCCAGAGCCAAGCGGACATCCAAGGGTCTTGCCCAGGAGCTCTGGGCTGATGACAGGTGGCATGAAGAACTGAGCGACTACTCCTGGGGAACAAGAAAGGCTTGTGACTGGGCCAGCCTGCTTTTCCCTCTATCTCAGGCTGGGGGAGGTGTGCGAGACATATACTGTGACTGAACAGAATGAGAGGGCACCACGGGAAGAGGCCACATGGCTCTGTTCTTATTGATGGCAGGTGGAGGAAGTGATCCCTTCCGGTGAGGGGGCCTCTGACCCGCAGAACCAGAGCATCCGGAAAGCTTGCTTCTAAGGGAGTGTTCCAGGTATTTCAGGAGCGCTGCCTTGGAAAGGATAACCCTGGTATCAAAAACCCAGGTGTGGATAAAATACACATTTCTCAGAATTGTTGGATCGTCCGTAAAGGACTTGGCACAGTGCTTGGTCTGTAGCTGGCCTTCACTGAACGAGCTGTCATTGTTTACTGTTCCCGTTATCATCATCATTAAATGGGAGGAGGAGGTGGGGAAATCAAAGCCCAAGACAGACGAGGACCCTCTCTGGATTATTTCTGAATCATTCTGGAAATGGTTCAGAAACATCTGGTTTTCTCTGGACGAGCAGAACATGTTTATAAAATGGACATGGCTGCGAGGATTCACCTGAATTATGTGAATGACAGCAGGGGGCGGGCAGGGAAGCGCTGAGGGGGGAAGCTCCCAGAGCTGCCTGGGTGGGGCGAGCGAGCCCCACAGCAGCCACGTGCGTCCCCGCTCCCGTGAGAGCCCGAGGATGGCACATGTGCGCATGGGAACGGTGAGTACATGACTACGTGAGAGCATTTAGACAGCTCTTAGATGCACTTACTTGTTCATTTTCGGTAGAAGTAACAGGAAGGGGATCTCAGGAGTCCCTCTACAGTCCAGGCACCAGCTTAGCACTTTCCCCACTTTAACTTAACACGCACGACCGCCTTCTAAGGCTGCGCCCTCCCTCCCATATGATGAATGAGGAGACAGGTGCAGACAGATGAGCGATTTTCCCAGCCGGGACTGAAATCAGCCCGCCCGCCACCCCGCTGCATGTTTTGTTCCCCACAACACGTCACTGTGACTGCGGGGTGGGGCCCCTTTCTGCGCGCTCCCCGCCCAGTGTCCATTATTTGCGGCGCTCTGCCGTCCAGCTGTCCGCTCGCCAGCACTGACCTGGGTTATTGGAAGGTTTCCTGGGAGCGTTGTTTACCGTTACGCTGGTGGAATCGCTTGCTGTCTCTGAGTGTGGCCAGTTCCCGTGACGGCACACAATTAGGCAGCCTGTGCTTCCTTGGGCCACAGCCACTTGTGACACTAAACAGAAGAAACAAAGGGAGATCGAGTACACAATAACGGTGCGAGTGTTAAATGCCCACAGTCAGAATTTCTTGGTTTATCCTCCACCCACCCCATCCCCCTCTCAAACGTGCCCTCTCCTTTGGTTGTTGTGTCTGCAGATTTCATACCTCAGACACCCACTACCATTAAGCATATTTCTTCTATTTTAAATTGGATATTTTTTCCTCATTTAAAATGATGTTATCTAAACCTAATAGGATGTCAAAATATTGACTGTAGTGCTGAAAATCTCTCCAACTCTGCATGCTATCAAAATGCAACTAAGCAGACAAAACTTCTTGTTAAGTTGGAAAGATTTATATCCTTTTTGAACTTAAAGAAGAAAGTTACATTGGGATCTTTATATTATTGTTTTTCATGAATTCTTGTTTCGACATTACAGAATTAGTTGGAAAGAAAGCATCCTTGAAGCACTCTGTCACTTCAAATATACTCATCTTTAATTAGAAATATTTCCAGTTAACTAAAATTAGGTCATACCAAACTTTCCAAAATATTACACTTACAATTTTTGGTTGACTTTTGACATGCCCGTCACATCTCTATCCAAAATGAAGACTCCTGACCATAAATTTCAGTAGTTTTTATTCAGAATCAAACTCTCACATTTACTGTAGCTCCCAGGGCTTCCTTTACATGTGCAACAAAGAATTACTTTTTGAGAGAAATGTTCAAGGAATGTATGAGTCGCTTTCCAGGCAATCACCCACTTCATTCTCTGACGGTTAGAAAGGAGTTCGAGCATTTCACAAGTAAAAACATCACTTGTTCTTATTGTCACAAAACTTGGATTTTGAGTGCGAAGGCTCAAAGCAGCAGAGCATGGTTGTAAAAGGTGTGATGCTAGAAACCATTCTGCCCGCCTTTCATTTCAGTGGCTTCCCACCACTTTTGTTCACTGCTGTTTTATGTGCTATAGAGGTGTCCGCCTTCACAACTTTCCATTTGCGTGGAATTCCATCTGTTTAATCAAACTGAAACAAATTGTAGTGTCAAGGTCCTTGTACCTTAAAAGATTTCCTTCCTATTATCTTGTTAACCCATTGCATCATTCAGAAGAATAAATACCCCAGCTCAGCACACAGGAAATGTAACAACAAAAAAAAGGAAATAGAGAATATTAAGATGTATGCATGTATGTATCACACACACATAGGCACACAAACAATATATGGCTTGTGTAACAGAAAAGTCAGTCATTTATTAAATACAAACAATGATATTTGCCTAGGGCATTGAAAATTATGAACCCTGCTAATTAAAATTTGGACTTTTCCCCTCACTTTTCAAAGACAATAGTAAGTAAGATATGATCCTGAATTGGTGGTAGAACTGTGCAGCAGGACTCCAAACTCACTCATGGCACAGTCCTGTGTGCAGAGAAAATGGAATTTGATTCTCTAGGGCTGATTTCATCCTCCTCATGAGCCCTGGTCTGAACTTCAACCTATTCAAACATGATACGATACCATCAATCAGAACTCATTTAAATGGCTTCTTTGGGGGTGATTCGGTCCTTCAGTAAATGCTTAGGCATTCGGAATTCTCTTTATCTCTGTTTCGGGGAGCAGCTGGGTATGTGAGGGGCTTTCCTGTGTTCTTTGGGGCATCCCTGGCCACACACTGGCTGCCCTGCCTCTGCCCCTTGGCGTGTTGCTGGTGGCTATTCTGAAGCCTGAGGCTGGCGTGACCAAGGATTCCCTCTGGTGACTTGGCCTCTGAAGGTTGGCTGCAAGCCGGCCTCGTAGCCACTTTGCTCTCGCCTGGGGTTTCCTGTCAAGAGGGACCGTGGCTTCCTTCTGCAGCCTTCCTCCTGCCAGCAGGAGCTTCTAAATGCTCTGTGCTGTGTGAGTGCCAAAGGCAGCTCAGGACGGCTCACTCGCACTCTGCCTGCTAGCCCAGCATGCACTGCAAGCCAGCCCTCTCCCACCGTCACAAACAGGAGTGGCTGCCCAGCCTCTCTAGCAGAGCTGTCCCCGCTGAGACTTCAGCCAAGGGGAGGCGGCCAGGAGCTGGGTCTGTCCTCACCCGCCCCTCTCCCCCCACCCATACCCGCTCGCATGTGCTTTTCACACTCCTCCTCCAGCTTTCTAATCCTCCTGTACACCAAACCTCAAGATCAAGTCACCAGATCAGCTTCTTCCCATATTAATAGGACAACCAAGACTTCAAAACTCGTTTTATTTTTCAACAAAATTGGGCTTTATCATCTGAAAAAAAAAATTCTAATTTGGTTTTCAGAAGGCAAGCAGTGAATCTTTCTCTTTGCACTCCTGCCACAGAAAGTTCCAATACACAAGCCTCCACCCACCCCACCCCAGCCTTCTCTGCAGGTCCCAAACAGGAAAGCCCAAGAACACATTTCCAAAAGACGTGCAGAAGGGGCTGCAATTTCAAGGGTCTCTCAGGTTAATAAACCAGAAAAGGGATCCCACCGTGTCCTGACAGTTAGCCAGCCTTAAAGCTGGGGAGGCCTCATGGTCACGGACTCATTCTCGCATCTACACGGACACAGTAAAAGAAGGCTGTGACACCTGATGGAACTGTTGTTTTTCACCTTATTTTACAGGATTGTTTCCTCTTTCATTTCCTATGTGGGCATCCTAAAATAGCTTCTGACCCTCTCCATGTTAATAAAATATGAGTTAGAGTTCATTTAGTCAAGAAGACTTAAAAAAAAATTCAAACTTCCACACTGTATTTGGGAGATGAGCTCAGACTTATCACTGAATTGAGATTTTGAATTCATTCTTCTGAACCCAATATGAAGATTTCGGTCAGTACACAAGACTCTGTATATAATTTCTTTGTTTAAAAAGGGGCCTATCAGAACAAAACTGCCATTTAATTGTCTATATAACTCTTGAACTCAGGAATTTTTAAAGGAGTTCCACGAACTCCCTGGAATCATACATAATATTCTGTGTCTACATTTTTATGGGAAAAAAAATCATAGCTTTCATCAACTCATCAAACTGGGGATTTTGATTCCCAAACAGATTTGGAATGTCTTCTGTGCTTTATACGTAATTATTGAATGGCCAGTTATTTGAGGAAAGAGATAAGTAGCTTGGAAAGGTTCTTATTATAAATGATTATTTTGTTAAAGGTAAATAACCATTGGCTGTATAAGTTTTCCTTCACAGAAGTTGTAAAATCAAGCGAAAGGACTCTCCTCCTCCCCAGCCCCTTCCTGACAACTGCACAGAGTGTAAGCTCCTTAGCCTGACACCAAATGCCCTTCACAGCCTGCCCAGCCTGTTCACTTTGTGCTCACCCTGCATTTCAGCCGAACCCTATTACTCATTTCCCTCTGAATCTCTTGTGCATTCGCAAGGCTTTCTGTTCAAAATTCCTTGGTCTGGCAAATTCCTACCTACGTGTCAATGTCTGTTCCCTCCCCGTTGGATAGTTAGTCACCATCAGAGCACTCTACGTCCATCTGCTAGAACAGTTAACACTCTAGATGGCAAAGGGTATTTCCATGTCCTTTTCCACTATCCACAGTGAATATCATGATAGCTGGGACAATATCATATTCATCCCATGTCCCCAGGACTGAGACAGTGCCTGGCATAGAGGCGAGACTCAGCAAATTTCGGTTCAATGAATAATAAAACAAGAGGCCTCGAGAGAAGCAGTAAAGGACTGTGGCAGAGAACGGGGGAGGAGGCTCAGCATTTGGACCAAGAGACGTGAATTCACCATATTCTTATGAAACGACCTAAAATGATACCTCATTGTCCCAGCAAAGGTCTTCACACGCCAGCTGGAAAGAGGGGCAAGTGATGGCAGCCAGGCTTCAGGCCAGGGAGAAGCCTCCTGCTGCAGGAGGCCCGCGTTACATCAGGGATCCTGGAGTACCTTAGCGTGTACTGTCCCCCGCTTGTCTTTCCTGCCTGCTCCCACTGCATTCCCTGTCACTGCATCATAGCCCAGCCCTCTCCATCACACCCCTACACATCTCTGTTCAAAAACGGGCTCGTGAAGAGGACCAGGACCTAGATGATTACAGTCGAGGTGGACAGCTCTGGGTGCTCTTTAAGAAGCCAGTGTTACAAGGACCTGCATGTAGGAGTTTACAGCTTGCAAAGCACTGTCACATCGTCACATGTGTCATCTCATTTGATCTTGGTTTGGACGTAGTTTTCGCAGGTAAGCAAATGGTGGAAAAACACACAATAACTTAAAGCATGGAAGGTAAGGCGCCAGGGTGAGCCCAGCCTGGAGCAAGGTCTTTAGCTCTATTTGCACTTGGAGCTCATGTTGGAAAACCAGGTGGAGCTAGATGGTGGGGTCCACAGGAAAACCAAATATTCATCAAAGCGTTTTTGCTGTTCCAAAAGTAACACAGACAGTAAAAGAAATAAAACATATAAAGGCCATGCCATGAAACAGAAATGCAGCCTTCCCTATTCCAGCCCCAGCACCCCATTCCTCCTCTCCAAGGTAACCACCATGAAAAATATCTCATGTGTCCTTCCAGAAATGTCCTCATGCGTACAGGTGAATACATACATATGTGTTAGAGAAAACCTTATATATAAGTGTGTACAACTAGAAATATGCTATAGATATACATTTATGTACAAATTATAAGACCATTAAAACATAAAAATATAAAATCATGTGTGTATATATAGTATCTAAAATCCTACTTATGAGTTATTTGCATATATGTGTATGTATATACACGTGTGTTTATACACACACATATGTACATATACAGTCAACTCTGGGACCTAGCACTGTTAGGGGCCTGGCTGGTGGTGAGGCTGGTGATATTGTTTCTGATGGTATGCCAAATCTAAGGAAGTGAGTCAGCAGCAGTTTTTTTGTTGGTCGAGAAGGTAGCTCTTTATGCAGTGCCAGATGTCCTGCTGGCCCAGAGTGGTTTGGCCAGTCGTCTTCCCTAGGAAGCTGGTTGTGGGTCCCCTTCTTTAGTGACCCTCAGAAATTGCTCTGCTGTGACAGCAACTGCTTGTGACCATTTGCGCTCCAAGGCCGATCTGCTGGTTCCTTTGAAACACGCTCCAGGGGGTTGTCCAGAGTGGTGGTTGACTGTGTATTGATCTACCCGACCTCCCTGCCAGCAATTGGGGGTGAGGAAAATGTCTCAGTCTCATTTGTGGCCCCACAGAGACCCCCTGGGTCCACGAGTGTCGGTTGAACAGATCTGGAGCTGTAACTGGCACTTAACGCAACATCTCACCTGCCAAGCCCCACAGGGCCTGGAGGAGAGGTAGACGCCCTTTCTTACTGCGTCATTATTAAGAGCACCTGTCTTCTAGATACCATTGGAAGCAGATACTTGTCTCCAGGGCTTCTCTTTTCCTCGTCTGTCCTCTTACACTTTCAAACTGCTGAACCAAAACAAGCCATTTGGTGATATTTCTGTGTTTGGCAGCTGGGTTATTGGGTGGGGGTTGTTTATGTTCTGAAATATCCATGCAGAATACATGGCATGCATCAGCTGGGGGAGAGGAGTGTGACAGGTACACCTACGCTCTGATAAAGTTCCAGCTGGAAGAGCTGTTACACTTACCCTATGTCTGGAGAGAGAGCAGAAGTTACAGGGATATGGATTTTTACCCAATTTAAGGAAGAGCTTTCTAATATCAAGTTTTCACAAAAATGGAATGGACCCACTGTGTAAGGTGGTAAGGTCTTTAGTACTGGAGAGATTTGAACCATCCTGGATAGAAGAATGTCTCAAGAGGTTTTCGAGTTCCCTGACATCTCTGGAGAATCTGATCCCATAGCTAGCTGATGTCTAAGGCTGCACCGTCCAGCCAAACTTTCCGCAGTGAAGGAAGTGTGCTGTATCTGCCCTGTCCCAATGGCAGTCATGACCACATGTGCCTACTGAGCACTTGAAATGCAGCTGGTGTGGCAGAAGACTGAATTTTTTATGTCATCTATTTCTAGTTAATTTCAATTTAAAAAGCCAGATGTGGTGAAATGGCTTCTAGAT